AGGAATGCTGCTTTGATCCAGGACCTGTCAGGTGGCAGCTCTTCCCCTTCAGAGCAGGTAAAATGCTTCTTGCTAGGACTAAGTTAAATATTTTTGCTCTTGGGTCTGCAGTGCGTTACTCTGTCACATTTGGGAGGTTATCACCTCTGAGGAGCAGAAGATCCAATAAATTCTTCAGCTACAACCGAAGTAAGCAGCCCTCAAAAGCAGCTTATTTATGTCAAAAAGCAAGTGAAAATCATTTGTGCAAAGTGAATGGTAACTGCCTGAGAAAACCCAGCTGCTCCAATGTCCAGATTTTGTAGTCTGACTTGGTAGGTGTGATATCTCTCTTTCTGTTTTCATTCCAGGCTACTGGGCAGCCGTACGAACAATATGCAAAGATGATATTTATGGAGCTAAATGATGCCTGGTCAGAATTTGAAAACCAAGGACAAAAACCCTTGTATTAGGTACTTTCTCAGTCCCCACTACAGACCTGTGCTAGTGCTTATATAGTCTCTTGTCACAAATGTTACAGATCAACCAAACTCTGCCTGGAAATTTGGAAGTTTCAGAAGACTAAGAGCCTAATACTCATCATGAAGAACAAAATAAAGGTTTCTTTGTACTTCTATCAAGAATCCTGAGCTCAGAGGAAATCTAGCCCACCTGGTTTGCCATATGGAGCCACAGGGTTACAGTTTCTTCTAACTTACATTTTCCTTTGGATTCAAGTGGCATGAGAGAGAACACATCCTGGGAAAAAGTGGAATTGTTCTGTCTCTGACACAGTGTAGCTGGTGAATTTCATATTGTTTGATTTTCTTCTGGTGTGCTTTTTTTTTTTTTTTGTGGTATGGCAACACTTCAGTTGAGTTCAATAACTGGTGGTGAAGCCCAAACTGGAGTGTGCTTTTTTTCTGGGTTTGGATCAGACTTCATAAAATTGATGTGCTCAGGTGTGGTTTAGGCAACACTTCCAACAGACCCCACTGGCTGCTTGGTTAAGCATATTGTGTAGTATGGGCAACTGGAGCCAAAGCTGAACCCCAGGTCAGGTCAGTGCTGCAGCTGCTGCTGCTGCTCACACCAATAGTGCACTTCACCTCACAGCCCAGCAGTGAAACGTGCAGGAGAAGTTCCTCAGCATCATGGAGCCAAGTATCTTTTAAAGCAAGTGACAGGTTACTGATGTCAAACAGCACCCTGTTGGTCTGTTAAACAGCATTTCTGGGGGAAGAGGGAACTGGGGGGGAGGCTGAACTCCTATTTGTGGAAGTGAAGAATGAGCATGTCCTGTACAGTTCCCACTAAGTTCTCATTGATAGCTTGAAACCATTGAACAAAATAAGTATCAACAAGCTAAGTCTGCTGCAAAGTTTTAGGAGCTTCCCAGTCTGTAGCTAACACATCCCCTCCTGAAGGCTGGGAAGAACTTTTCCAGCCCACTTGTGTCACCTTTATGCCTTTATCAGCTCCAGAGCATGTGGCAAAGGCTCTTGGCAGAATGCAACCTGTTGCAACTTCACTTTTCAGACTGGGGTGTGCAAGCTGTTGTGTAGACACACCTGTGGCCCAGGTCTGATTTTTGAGGTAAATACAGTGCAAATCAATTATCTGAAAAGTGTATGTGGACCAAAGCAATAATATCACAAGGAAGCATCTCTGATGTTAAAGCAGAAGCAACTTTCCTACTTAAAAAGCAAGTTTTGCTCTTCACCCCAAATTCTAGCATTCTCTTTTTGTAGAACAACAGAATCTATCAGTTTCTTTACCAACATGTTGTATCTGTGTTTGAGCTTTGAAAGGGCAGGTAGAGGGGCAGGAAATAAGTTGTATTTACTGCTCCAGGAAGAGGTTGCCATCTGATGCAAGCTGGTGGTTTTTAAAGACAATCCACTTGTTGTTGCACTTACATTTTCAAGTGGCAAAACCTTTACTGCACAGACAGGGTGTCAAAGTACATTGCTTTCTGTAGAAAAGTCATCCTTTTGTTGTATTGGTCCATGATTTACTGCCATTCATTGAAATGTGAAACCAACACATAGGTCTCCTTTTATATAAAAGACCTTAAGATAATAGTAACAAACTGGATGTTATTTATTAATGTTTTGATCCAGTATGTGCTCGTCTTATTTAAAGAGATAACTGGAATGTGAATCATGTTCCTGTGATTTGCTGGTTTATTGTTTCTCATTCACATTTGTAGATATTGTGACCTATGCCTATATAATTAAAAGGATGTCATTACTATAATGTACTTTTTTTTTTGATAATGAGAACTCCATTAGCTTTGTATCGAGTTTGTCATGGCACACAACTGGATACTCACACCTTCACAACATACAAATCCATCATTAAACTTTATCTACCAAAAGAAACCCTCCCCCCTACTTAAGCTTTGATTACTTCCATCCCTAATGTTTTTATGGATGCATGAAAGTATTAGGATGTATGTATATCAAAATAGTTAACTAAAAGCAAATTTTCTTGTCATATCTGGTAGTGACAGAGGTTATCAATGTTCAGGTTTATTGTTTGACTAAATTATTGTAATTTTTGTAAATACAGTATATACTCAATGAAATTGTGACTGGTCTAAAACATTTGTATATACATTAAAAAGCTCAAATGAACTTATTTGGGTATCTTGTGCTTGTGGGGGAAAAAAATCAACTTTCTTGCTTTAAACATGGGTCAGAGCAAATCTCAAATGCTGGATAAAAAACAATGAAGCCTTGTAAGTTAAATGGAAACTTATTTTGTCAACAATGTCTTCTATGTGTGACTAACATGGGTGGGACCTCTGTGTTACACATAAAGGTAACCATAAATTACTTGTCCTTGAAACAAACAATTTTTTTCCTGGAGCCTTTCTTTCCTCCAGAGCAAACAAGCTACATGAAAAGCCAGTTCTTACTGCAAGCACATTGTAACAACAGTAAGGCTCTAATTTAGACAACATTTGCAATGGGAGAAGATGCAACCTTTTATACTTAAGAGAAGAAGAAAAGTCTTCAGCTGAAACAGAAGGTGGTAACTTCACTTGCTTCCACCTTTTGATTTAGACAAGTCAGATCTATGTTTGTATATTTATGGTAGGTACAAAGCCATTTACATTGAGCTGTACCAAGAGTGTTTAGTTATCTAAGCCTCCTGTTTTAATTAGGAGGCCTTATTGGCCTGTAAGCAGCCAGCTCTAAATTATTTAAAATTCATCAAGAAATTGGAAAAAAGCTCCTGTAGTATATATGAATATGAGACAATGGGCTGATGTGGGAGATATTAACAAAAATCTCCCTGGGGAGGGTGTATAGAATATTTTGGGTTGGAAAAGACCTTTAAGATCATCAAGTCCAACCTTTCACCCTACTCCATTCACCTCTAAACCATATCCCCAGGCATCACATCTAGATGCCTTCTAAACACATCCAGGGATGGTGACTCTACCACCTCCCTGGGCAGCCTGTTCCAATGTCTGACAACTGTTTCAGTGAAAAATTGTCCAGGCTAAACCTCCCCTGGTGCAGCTTTAGATTGTTCCCTCTTGTTCTGTCGCTATTGTGAGAAGAGATCATTGCCTACCTCTTTAAAACCTCCTTTCAGGCAGCTGCAGAGTGATGGGGTCTCCCCTCAGCCTCCTTTTCTTCAGACTATAAGCAGCCCTGGTTCCCTCATCTGCTCTTCATCAGACTTGTTCTCTAGGCCTTTCACCAGCCTAGTTGCTCTTCTCTGCACCTGCTCCAGCACCTCTATCTTTCTTATATTGAGATGCTCAAAACTGGACACAGTACTCAAGGTGGGGCCTCACCAGTGCCAAGTACAGGGGAAGGATCACCCTGTACCTGCCTGTCACACTTTCTAATACAGGCCAGGATGCCATTTGCATTCTTGGCCACCTGGTCTCACTGCTGGCTCATATGTAGCCTCTTGTTGATGAGTACCCTGAGGTCCCTTTCTGCTGGGCAGCTCTCCAGCCACTCTTCTCCCAGCCTGTAGCATTGCAGGGGGCTGTTGTGGCCCAAGTGCAGGACCTGGACTTGTTGAAACTCATACAATTTGCTATTGATCCAGCCTGTCCAGGTCCCTCTAGCAGATCAATGTTTCTGCCTAAACTGGTGTTGTCTGCAAGCTTACTGAGGTGCATCCTATCTCCTCATCGAGGTCATTGATGAAGGTGTTAAACAGAAGTGGTCCCAACCCTGAGGAACTGCACTGGTGACCAGCTGGACTTAGCTCTGTTCACCACCGGGCTCAGGCCTGGCTGTCCAGCCAGTGTTTGCTCCAACAGACAGCATGACCTTCCAAGCCATGAGCAGCCATCTGAACAGGTGTGCAGAATTTCCCTCAGAAAGGCTGTTCTGGGGTCCAAATGGCATCTGAAATTGTCTCAGGCTTGAAAAACACTGATCTAAAAGAGGATGTGCCCTCCTTGGCCAGAAGGGTGAATGAGGGAGATCTGAGGAGGCACCTTATGGGAAAGCAGGTACCTGGGCCCATTTTTTTGGGTGAAAACGGGTTTTCAGAAGTAGCTTGCAAAATGGCAGTGACCGATGCGTGGGGGGGGGGAGGCAATGGGAGAAGATGCAACCTTTTATACTTAAGAGAAGAAGAAAAGTCTTCAGCTGAAACAGAAGGTGGTAACTTCACTTGCTTCCACCTTTTGATTTAGACAAGTCAGATCTATGTTTGTATATTTATGGTAGGTACAAAGCCATTTACATTGAGCTGTACCAAGAGTGTTTAGTTATCTAAGCCTCCTGTTTTAATTAGGAGGCCTTATTGGCCTGTAAGCAGCCAGCTCTAAATTATTTAAAATTCATCAAGAAATTGGAAAAAAGCTCCTGTAGTATATATGAATATGAGACAATGGGCTGATGTGGGAGATATTAACAAAAATCTCCCTGGGGAGGGTGTATAGAATATTTTGGGTTGGAAAAGACCTTTAAGATCATCAAGTCCAACCTTTCACCCTACTCCATTCACCTCTAAACCATATCCCCAGGCATCACATCTAGATGCCTTCTAAACACATCCAGGGATGGTGACTCTACCACCTCCCTGGGCAGCCTGTTCCAATGTCTGACAACTGTTTCAGTGAAAAATTGTCCAGGCTAAACCTCCCCTGGTGCAGCTTTAGATTGTTCCCTCTTGTTCTGTCGCTATTGTGAGAAGAGATCATTGCCTACCTCTTTAAAACCTCCTTTCAGGCAGCTGCAGAGTGATGGGGTCTCCCCTCAGCCTCCTTTTCTTCAGACTATAAGCAGCCCTGGTTCCCTCATCTGCTCTTCATCAGACTTGTTCTCTAGGCCTTTCACCAGCCTAGTTGCTCTTCTCTGCACCTGCTCCAGCACCTCTATCTTTCTTATATTGAGATGCTCAAAACTGGACACAGTACTCAAGGTGGGGCCTCACCAGTGCCAAGTACAGGGGAAGGATCACCCTGTACCTGCCTGTCACACTTTCTAATACAGGCCAGGATGCCATTTGCATTCTTGGCCACCTGGTCTCACTGCTGGCTCATATGTAGCCTCTTGTTGATGAGTACCCTGAGGTCCCTTTCTGCTGGGCAGCTCTCCAGCCACTCTTCTCCCAGCCTGTAGCATTGCAGGGGGCTGTTGTGGCCCAAGTGCAGGACCTGGACTTGTTGAAACTCATACAATTTGCTATTGATCCAGCCTGTCCAGGTCCCTCTAGCAGATCAATGTTTCTGCCTAAACTGGTGTTGTCTGCAAGCTTACTGAGGTGCATCCTATCTCCTCATCGAGGTCATTGATGAAGGTGTTAAACAGAAGTGGTCCCAACCCTGAGGAACTGCACTGGTGACCAGCTGGACTTAGCTCTGTTCACCACCGGGCTCAGGCCTGGCTGTCCAGCCAGTGTTTGCTCCAACAGACAGCATGACCTTCCAAGCCATGAGCAGCCATCTGAACAGGTGTGCAGAATTTCCCTCAGAAAGGCTGTTCTGGGGTCCAAATGGCATCTGAAATTGTCTCAGGCTTGAAAAACACTGATCTAAAAGAGGATGTGCCCTCCTTGGCCAGAAGGGTGAATGAGGGAGATCTGAGGAGGCACCTTATGGGAAAGCAGGTACCTGGGCCCATTTTTGGGGGTGAAAACAGGTTTTCAGAAGTAGCTTGCAAAATGGCAGTGACCGATGCGTGGGGGGGGGGGAGTTTCTTTAAAACTGTGTTTCTGTATTTCAGTTGTCTGCACACATATTGAATCACAGTCATCAGGGCTGGAAGCGATCTCTTGAGGACCATCCAGCCCAACACCCTTGCTGGAGCAGATCACCCAGGAACACATCCAGGTGGCCTTGGAATGTCTCCAGAGAAGGAGGCTCCACCAGCTCTCTGGGCAGCCTGTCCCAGGGCTCCGTCACTCCCACAGGAAAGAAGATTTTCCTGATGTTTAACTTGAACCTTCTGTGTTCCAGCGTGTGCCCAGTGCCACTGGGCACTGCAGGAAGGGTCCGGCCCCATCCTCCCGCAGACATTTACGACGAGATGCCCCCTCAGCCTCCTCCAGGCGCAACAGCCCGCACCTCTCCCAGCTTTTCCTCACGGGGCAGCTGCTCCATTCCCCTCACCGACCTCTCGGCGGTGTTCCT